CGGCCCCTCCCCCGGCCTGCCTCGAGTCACAAGCGGCTCCTGGCTTGCCTTCCCTCGTGGGGCAGCCCACTCTTGCCGCTACTTTACAATTACTCCAATTACTACTTTACAATCACTTTGCTCCACAGAAACTGAAGCCTAAGGAACATCCATAAACTGCAACCCTGGCAAAACCAGAAGCTATGCAAAGTGAAAAAAGGATATTCAGTCTGGAGAGAGTGGTTTGGAGTTTCACGAGTATAAAGTGCCTTCCTTGACACTGTTATTTCCATCTGAAAAAGGGGAATATGGACAATTTGACACTATTACATTTTGTGGAAAAAAGAATATTTGAAAGTTTATGATGCGACTATTTAGAAAATCGTTTGCCTGATCTTTGGGATTTGGCTGATGGAATACAGATATGCAGGACATTGGGCTGCACCAGAGAGCAACTTCCAGCATTTCAGCTGACTCGGCCCCAGGCAGACCTCTTTCTTCTTCACCTAGCTTGGCTGCTATTGTTAGGCATGAAGTAATGATATGATTTCAGTTGTTATAATATGCAGATGAGCATATTATAACATGTTATACATGTATAATATATTATAACATGTTATAATATATTTTATATATATGTATAACATGTTATAATATGAGAGACCAGAAAGGTCAGGTCTGGTCAACTCCACGCCAGTGTCAGACACAACAACGTAACTTCCACAGCATTCTCCAAGCAAACGGTTTGTGGTAGATTTGTCCTGAACTGCACAAAGAAACTGAAATACTTGCTAGTATTTTAAGCTTTACTAGATAACCACATCTTATTAGGATAACGTGTAAGCCAAAGAAGAAACTTTATATAGTCCACAAACATAAACCCCACTGACCTTTTAAAACAACTTCTAGTTCGTCTCTTAAAATGTCAAAGTTACTATAACGGGAGCTGGTTTCTGGAATGACGTTCCTCTTAAGCCATCCTCCACAGGCATATTGGTAAAAATCATTACAAGGCTCTGCAGTGGTGTCCATGTTCTCAAGGATTCGGGCTGCTGTAATACGAGACAAATCAAGGCATGAAGAATCTTGAGAGAAAATAAATGAATACCCTTGTTTTCTCTGAAGAGGGAAGTAATAAATATATTCCCTTTAGTTTAGAATAGGCTCAAGCCTACTTGAATGTTCTAGACCAAACGAAGTCAGTGAACAACAAATTAACTATTCCTTTGCTGCCCATAACTTACATCTGTTGCCTGTGGTTACTGATGGGTAAACTGACTAATGTAGCTACTACTTATGAGTCGTTGCTCAGTTTTAAATAAAATGTAAGATGTTTCATTTACTGACTTACACTTTGTACTGAAGTGTGGAGAAAAGAGAAATTAAAAGCAAAAGACATATCAGAGGTTAAGTATCCACTATAATGTAATTTAAGTAATGAAGTATGATGTAGGGTCAGCTGAATCCAATCTATTTTAATAATATAATGACTTTGTCAGTGAAGTTTTCCTATTAATGCTCTCCTGAACCTACGCTGATTTTTTTAGACCTACTCCACATTTTATTCTAGAATTGATACTGCCTCTTGCTATCCCTGCTGACCCTCTTGAAGTGGCTT